GTTGGGTGGGAGTGTTGATCTGCTCGAGGGTCGTGTCATGTTAAAGGGCAAAGGAATTCGGCAGAAAATAACCCCCCTTGCTTTCCAGCTTGTCCTCAGATATCAGAGGGCCATCTGGGCTTAGATTCTGAGTGATGTCCAATTTGGCTCTGGAAGTCTGGTCGTGTCCAATATCAGTCTAGTTGTACATAACAGTTCACACAGCTGGATAGATAATTGAACTGTCATGTTTACAGAGTCCCTGCACTTAGGGAAATGATTTAGTGGTGGATTTGACAGTGTTAGGTTTACAGTTGGACTCAATGATCTTAAAGGTCTTTTCCAACCTAAACGATTTTATGATTCTATGATTTTATAATTTTGAGGTTGGTCAGAATTTGAGTCTGTGTCGAGCAGCTATGTTAGGAATACATTACCGTGTATTCAAGAAGCATCTGGGCTAATTCTCTGGGAACAGTCTAAAAGCAGTGCAAGACTAAGGTGGGATATTGATGCTTGGTAATGAGAGGTTGCTGGTTACAGTAGCACCACAGTTAGCTCCTGAGCTGCTTTCATGGGGCACCCTGGGAGAAGGGACGAGAAACTCCATGAGTTTTAATTTAGAGGACCAACTGAATTTAGAAAAGCTAAGCAGATTTAAATCTGGTACTCAGTTCTCACCGATTTCTTGGTAACATTTTTTCCCCATTGTGGAGTTCAATTTATGCATCAGGGCTGTTGCAGCCTGAAGGTGCATTTCTGCTTCCTTGTATCCCTGTTTCAGTATGGCTACTGCAGGAATCCCTCTCCTGGGAGCTGCAAATCTGCTATCATTTCTACTTCTTCTAAAACTAGAGAGAAGAGTTAGCCTCAATGTTGGCAAACCAGCAAAAGTTAGTCTACAAACTTGACACTGATTTGCAGAACTGCCAGCTAAGCTGAGTATTTCTTCATATTGTCAAGGAAAGAAGTTATCCCCTGTGAAATGTTGGGTCTCCTGTTAACAAAGAAGCCTGTTGTACAGGGCAGATGATGCAGCAGATGACTTTTCCCTGGATTCTGCTTTGGCAGTCTACAGGATGAAAGGCAGTGATGCTTCTTAACGGTGTGTGTGTGCAGAATTAATGGCCATCCACAATAATAGTAAATCGGTGTTTCCATCTCTCCGCTAAAATGACGATGTTTTGTCAAACCTCTAAATAAAGCCCAAATTCAACTTCAGTTACCTAGGGTGGATGGATTAATGAGCAGATTGTGACCTAGTAGACCTGAAAAACAGAAAATGTTTCTTCTGTTTATCGGTGATGTAATAAGAAGATACATCACCACCTCTGGCAGCTCTAATGCTTTTACTTAACGAATGTCTTGGCTTTAATTTGCAAAGTATATAGGTGCAATTGCCATATAAGATGACATGTATCATGTAACAGCCCTCAAGATCAGTAATGTATACTGTTATGCAATAAGCCATACTTGCTCATGGTTACCTTATTTCTCTTTAGTATGAATAACCCTCTTAAAATATATCCAGATATTAGGCATGAGTCCAAGGACATGGATTGTTGCATAATCCCTAATGAGCACCGAGATTTTTGTAAACATCTTACCATGATTTCAAAGGAGATAGACCTGTTTGTTACTTAGTCTTTTACTGTATTCTGTGTTCCTCTGTGTTCGCTTTAAGTGAATGTATATAATGGAGAAGTTGTGTGCTCAGGAAGAGACAGCAAGAGTAAAGGGAGGATACTTTGGATATAAGAAGGAGTGGCATTCTTTGAGAGAGCTTGTTGTGCACAAGGAAGATTTCAATTGGGTTTGAATTACTGGAGGGAGAGGGAAAGTTTTGAAAGGAAGGGAGCAAATGGGTTCAAGAAGAGTTTAAAGTTTTGTCAGATAAAATGAAATTTGCGGAAAGGGAGAAGAAAGTCACTTTTTTCTGTGTCGCTTGAGCAATAGTGAAACTGCAGACACTGGAGAATTTTGGTTGGAGAACTGCCAGCTGTCTGGTTAGTCTGGCGTCAATCTCTGTCCTCTTTAAACTGCACAGCATACAGCCTGTTGTATAGGATTTACCTTAGAGGGCAGCTGGAATTGCCATTGGGAATTCTTGTTTCTCTTGAATGCTGAGAAAATTTTGAGCTACATCTTGTAATTGGTTTGTTTTTCTACTGAACCATACTGTCATCTTAGAATCTGAAGGTCCCTTGTCATTTATAAAAGGGCTTGCTTTATATTCAGGATATCTTTTGTTATGTTCTTGGACTTTGACACCACAGAGGATCCTGAGGCCTGGCTCCTCTGGTCACCCAGATGAGAGGCCTGGTTGGAGAATGCTTTAATTCATGTCTGGCCTATATACCCAGGGTTCCTGCTACAGAAATCAGGATGGTGTGTTAAAATGAGAAGAAACTTCTCTGTGTCTGGCTTTTCCCTCAGATGGAGTCAGGCCATGGCAAGAACATGTTCAAATCCAAGAGATGAGATGCGCTTCCACCTATCTCAGCTTTGACCTTTTAAACCATATAGTTTGGAGCTGGCTTCTACCTCATGTGATGAGATTGAATAAGTATTAATGGTCTAGGTGTGCTTTTATCTGTTATGAATCCACATGCATTTCCTTAGTATAATCAGAGTTAAAATGAGTTGAATATGTTCAAAGAAGACACGCAGCTCATTAAATTCCCCAGCAAGGAGTTAAACTGGTAATGAACCGTGTTCCATTTCTCTTAGTTAAACGCGATCCTCAGAAAGGCAAGTTAATGCTATGGATGCTTAGAAAACAGGTGGTGAGGTTATTTCTGCACTGGGATTATGATGGGCAGTAGTGATGTAAGAGCATTCCCTGAAAGATAATCCTTGTTTTGATGTCTTTGTGGGGTTTTTTTTGTTTGTTTGTTTTTTGTTTTTTCCAGATCATGATTCCGTATGAAAATCGAACAAGTGAGGTGATGTACAATAAAATGAACATATCAGAGCTCAGTGCCATGATTCCACAGGTTAGTTTGGGATAATTGCAAAACTATGGTTTTAACGTCTGACCTATATAGTTAAAATTGCTTTTAGTGTGCAGAGCAGCATATTAAAGGAATATCACCAGGAATGTGTGTACTCAGTTACAGTATATGTTCTTTTAAATACAGTTACAACTTGACTGAAGTTTGAAAACGCATGTAATGACAAGGTGCAATAGTTTCTAAATTTTTAATAAGTAAAGCTTTGAAACCATTAGTCTCAAAGATGCAACTTAATTAATAAATCATCTCTCTTCACAATCTGTTTTAACCAGCCTTCTCTTTGTCATTGCAGTTTGACTGGCTGGGATACATCAAGAAAGTGATTGACACCAGACTCTATCCTGAGCTCAAAGATATAGGTCCTTCAGAAAATGTGATTGTCCGTGTCCCCCAGTACTTCAAAGATTTATTCAGGATACTAGAAAATGAAAGGAAAAAGTAAGGATCTTATGACGATTTCACCAACAGTTATGAGGGGACATCAAATACTGGGCTTTTCCTGGGATTTTTAGGTGCTTGAGACATTCTTGGAATCAAGTCTCTAGGCAAAAGGCCTGTTTGGTTTTGTCTGAATGAGGGTATAGATATTAGTTTGTGTGTAGCAGGGGAACTTGCAGTTTCAACACTTTTCTTTTTTATGGAAAACACAGGTTGCAGTAAAGCTGCTCTTTCCAGGTACATTCAGCAACTCTTGTGTAGGGTCTTGCATCTTGTGAAAGCATTTACACTTGTAGAACATAGTTTTAAAATACAGGTAGCTCAGATTAAACATGGTAGATATGCTTTGCACAGGGAAGCAAGACAGATTTGGGCAGTGTGATGAAAAAAGTGTATGTGAAGATGACACCCTATTTAGAAGCGTCATTATGACATCTAAATGCTTTCTGTGATAATTTGCTCTCTGCTGAGGTGTGTTGCTGAACTTCTAAAAAATTATTGTTATGCTATTGTCTCCAAAAGTCATTCTTTGCTGATTCTACAGTATGGCCACAACTAAATTTATATTTCAGGAAAAAAAAAGACTAATTCAGAAGCTTTATTATATTGTTGCTCTACATCTCCAATGGCAGAATGCTAACATTAATTCATAGTGCTTGTAAAAACAACACATAGATCAAACAATATGAAAAATAAAAATTACTGATCTGCCTATGGGTCATCAAACATCCTTTCTTGATAAAATTCAGACAAATATCATTAGTGTACCAGCATTCTTAATCTATGAAGAAAGTCTTCTAAATGGTTTGGGCTGTCCATGCTTTGTATCTCAAAGTTGGTTACATCAGTGAGGATAAAGCAGTGATTTAGAGGATGCACATGTAGCAAGACAACAGAGAATTAGTTATTCCCTGTGTACAAATATATTTACATGCAAATATATTCTGTAACTACAGAGTAAATACCTGGAGACATTGTCTATTAGGGTCTTACTTGGGGAGAATCTGAGTATTCAAGAGTAGTTAAGCCAGCCTATGTGACATGGCAGAGGGAGGCTGGAGTAATGACCAGAAAGAATGGCCAGACTTGTCTTCAGCAAAGCTTGAGACCAGCTTCCTGACCCTCACAGGGTTAGGGAGGTGGGCAAAGGCATTGACTGCTTTCCAGCATGTTCATGCTGCATATCTTATAGCTGATAATGGTTTAGGCATTTTCTACTCAGTCTTACGCCAAGAAATTTGTGTCATAAAATGTTAGAAATGGCAAATAGTGCTAAACTCAACCCAAGCAAACTTCAAATTCTTGTACATAAAATCCATCCAAACGGTCACTGCATGATAACAAAGATCATGTTTATCTATTAGATGACAATGGTCATTAATTAATGTCATAATCTGCTCCAGAAGTAACCTTGTTATCTCTCCTAAGAAAATTAGGAAATCATCTTAATGCTAACTCCTAACAATGAGGTCTTAACATTTCCCTGTAGGGTGAACTCTGAAAGCTTAATAAGGATATTTTCTTCTAGGTAATCTCATTTGTCATTGTCCATATGATATTTTAAATGTTAAATTAATGCAAACAGCATGAATTTGATTTGTTACAGTAAATATCTAGACCAATCAAATTTGTAGTAAAGCATTCCAAAATTTTAGATGTGCTTCAGTGGTTGGAACAAGAATTAACTTCTCGTCATTTTGGGAGATGCAGCACCATTACGAGAAACAGACACTTTCACCAAGTTCGTATTCTTTTCAGTTACAAACCTTCTATCCCTAAATTATACTTTTATTCCAATGCCTTGTGTGTCCCCTTCCCAGATGAGCACCCTGCTGTCATGGGTGCTATTCAAAATGGCACAAAAACGTGGTTCATGCCTCAGTGATCTGGCAAATTACTCTGTGAAGTTTGTTTCAGGTGGAAGGAAGAATGGAGTGAAAATTAAGTCTGGTTACAGAAGCCGTTCTCAATGATGGAGGTGACAAGTCGTATGAACTTACAATCATCGTATTAAAAATTGCTCCCCCGGAGAACCTGATGAACAATCGTGAATAGTGAAATCATTCACGTGGCAATGTTACTAGAAAATAGCACATTGGCAGGGTGTAGAGTGAATTTAGTAGAATAAGGCTGTAATTTACTTGACAACCCTGCTGCACATAATCAAGTAGTGTGTGGATTCTGAAATATGTGCGGCGGTGTGGTTCAGAGGTCTGTCTGAAGTTCCCAAGCCAGTGCACTGCTGTGTGTCCAGCCCAGGAGCATGGCTGCCTGTAGCAAGCTGCCCAAGAATCTGAGTAACTAGCCGGCAGGAGTTTCCATCAGCCCGCCCTGGGCTAGCTAGCCTAAGTCATGTCAGCTGTTCAGTGCTGAAGTCAGTCACACCTTCATAAGAAGTCTTCAGGGATTCCTTCATTTTTGTAGTGTTCTGACTAATTTTTAATGGAGTTTATATCTATTACAGGAAGAAGAGGTGTATGTTGAAAACACAGATGTAGCTGTGGTATCAATGAGATGATGGCAGAGCTCCAATACAGCTGTGATATGTGTGGGGGGAGACTGGGCTGTCACCAGTTAGAAGCCTCTTATATCCCTTCCCTGATACCTATGCGCTGGTGCTTTATGTATGAGCCATAAATAGGGTATAGTAAATTATGTCCTTGTTGGATCCTGTTGAAGGAAGCATCTTTATCTTTCTCACGGATGTCGGAATGAATAACTGGTTTCCTTTGCCTTGCCTTACCGTATCTTTGCAGTGTGGGACAGTTTCTAGCAAAGTAATCTGTAATTCCTGCAGCAGAAGAGGAATTTTCTTTAGAGAGGGATGGGGGCACTAGATCTCCTTTGGTCTTAGCCTGCCTCTGAAAAATTGGAGAGAGAAATTACAATAATTTGACTTGAACTAGTGCCTCTAGCAATAGAGACAGAAGTTTTTCAGTACTTATAATTTTACTCATGACTTAATTCTGAATACAATTTTCAAGCAGATCTCAAAATTTGTGAAAGGGATCTTTTTCTTAGAATGTCAATTAATTTGTCCAGCTATCTCATATTAAATCTATCCTCTTTAATTGCCACCATGTCTGTTGATTAAAATATCACAAACTCACAGAATCTTACATGAGCAGCCTACTTTATTCCCAGACAGGGTAGAGAGTTCCTTAGTAGATATTCATAAGCCCTGGCATAATTTTAACTGTCTCAGCAAACAAGCTCTCTACCACTTCCTTTGGGAGTGTGTATCACAACAGTGGTCATATTGGTTAAGAGCGAGCCTACACTTCTTTCTGTAGCAGGCATTTTGAAGTTAACATAGGGTCCTATGTACTGTACTCTTCTGAAAGGTTACGACAACAAATGCTCTGGTCTCACTGAAAGAGCAGAGAGGATTTTTTGTGTGTGTGTGTTGGATTTTGCTCCATGCGACAAGGTTATCTTCTCTGAGCCTCAGTGAATTTATTTGTGAAATTGGGAAGAAAATCTCGGATATGCACTGGAGGCATTTCTTAATGAAAAAGTGTCAGTTTATAAATGAAACAAAGATGATCAATTGGTTATAAGTTTGTATAGTTAGCTAAAAAGGTAAAATGATCATCCCCAAAACAGGTAAACGAATTCAGATAAAATACGGTTTTATTTTGAAAAACAAAATAAAGAACATTGCCCCGTAAACAAACAACAACAAAACCCCTCAACCTTTCCCTCCATTGCCTCCCCCCTCCCTGGCCCCAGCAAATAAATGTGCTTCTGGGCTTTGAAGAAAAATCTTCCTGTTGTTTTATGCATTGTATGCATCAGTGGATTCTAGTGTGAATACAATCAGAAATTATTACAACCTCATCAGACAGCTTGGTTTTAGGATGTTTCAGCCTTCTTTTCCTTCTTCAATTAAAACAATCCTCAATTAATTATGGGATATTTCCTGAAACTTGACAGCTGCCTTCGTTATTTATGCTTGATACAAAAGTTTTTGAATTCCCGTTGATATTAGTGCTTTGAGTAAGTCACCTTTTTGAGATTCACCCTTTACAAATTTCAGTCCCTCGTTCACTACCAATTTGACAGAGGTTCCCCAACTCAAATGTAAGGACAAACACTGCTGGATGAGAACAAGAAGCACACAGAAGGAAGAACTGATTTTTTTTGTAGCAATTGAGTACGGCATTGTAACACACAATTGGTTTATGATAGCAGTCTATTTAGATGAGGGTTTTTTAACCTTAGACTTGTGATCAAAATTAAATCTTTAAACCTTTTAATCCATAGGACTTGCATAATTACTGTTTTAGATCCACAGAGTAGTTACTGCAGGAGCATGGATGCTATTCAGCTCTGCTGAAATACCTGAGGCAGATAGGTGTGAGGCTTGTGGAGTCTGAGTCATTTACCAAACCAATGACAGCTGAGCTCTTTTAGGGTGTTTCAGTTGCTATTGAGTGAGGAAATTCAACCTTCTCAGAAATGTGTTAAGAGGAAAATCTATACTTTCTGCTATTTCATAGGTTGGAATGAATTTTTAATAACCCTAAACATTATCTCAAAATGGTTTGATCATCTAGGTAGAGCTAACTGTTTTTGGCTTTCATAACACATACTGTGTTATAAAGGTATATTATTCATGCTAAAAAGCTTTTTCAGATATGTTTTACAATTATTGTGGGGATTTATGTGTACTTTGTGATATATCTGTATACTAAATATGCACAGTGTGAGAGATGAGGAGGAGTATAAAAAGCAGGACTTATAAATCACAGCAATTCTCTACTCCCCTGTAGAAGTTGCCACTGGCCACAAAGACTAGTGAGTATCAGGTCTTTGAGCAACCTGCAGGGACAGATAAATCCAGCAGCACTGCAGAGCGCCTGCCTTCCCCAGCCACTGACCACTGTGCCTCACCAGACTGGTCCCCTGTACACATCTCAGCCAGCCCACAGAAAGTGCATAGCCACCCACCCATCAGCTCTTGGTGTAGAGTCCCACTTGGATGTGTGCATGCTCCTGGAGTTATTGGGTTATCATGTGCTCAGTCACTAATAGAAAACATATAGCTATAGCTTTCCTTAAACCTCTCCATTCTCACCTCTTTATCACCTCCCCGGCTGAGTGACCGTGAGTGTACTCTTCCAGCAACAAAGTGTCTTGAGCTGGAGGCTTTGTATGGGTGGACTGGAGCTTGGTTAGAGGCAAAACTGAAAGTTATGGCTCAGATGAAGGCAGCTGGGAAGAGAGCATGCCCACAAAGTGTGTTTATAACCTGTTATGATTCAGAGGAGGGAACAGTGTGGGATATGTCTGTGAATGAAGCTAATGGAGTGACACTGTAGCAACAGCTATGCTGCTCCACATCTATGGCAATGGGAAGATTGCCAAAACAGCATTTTTAGAGATGGGCAGTTGTTCAGATGGTCCATAACAGCATCTTTGGTTGTAAAGGAGCAATTTTCCTCCCTACGGAGGAGTCTGTGGCCTGCCCAAAATGTTATATATATTCCAGACGGAGCAAGCAATATTTGGTTATCCATAGCTTTAGAGCAATGCCTATCCTCGAAAAATATGTCATGTATAAGACAAGATGTGAATAACACGTGTAGGCCGTTATTGGATTTGTTTTGAGACTGAAATTGAATTGGGTGTTTCACAATGCACCTTTACCTCATACAGCCACTGCTGAGCATGGAGAGAGCTCAATCTAGACTAGATAAATCCTTCAGTCAAGTGCTTGAATTTTTAGAAAAGGGGTATGGATGTCAGGTCTCATGGTAATTTTAAACAATTTCTTCCTGGATCTCTCAGCCTCAGTTCTTATGAGATTCTTTTACTGAGGCTTCTCTTTTTTGGTATTTCAGTTATGTGTTTGCAAAAAAAGAGTGGTAATACTTTAAGAACTCTGTAGGTAGTAAGAACTTTTAAAAGCATATTGATAACTTCTAATGAAAGATACAAATACGAGATAATGATAGTATATGAGACGGACTGTTATCTATTCTGTTTCATAGTTACAATTTATGTGTCCTACTAATGAGGAGAGATAACATTCACTTTGATTTACAAAAGAAAAATCAGTTATTTTCTTATCTCTGGCTAGAAATTTTATGCAAATATTATTATGACACAGTTCTCACCCCTTCTATGGAAAATGAAAACTGCCTTCTGACAAAAGCACTGCCTAAAATGACATGCTAGGAGACGGGCTTGTTATGAATATCCCCTAGAAGATGGTTATCATGGTGCAATTACATATTAAGTGGCTGCAATCATACAGATTCTTCTATGTAACAGGGATTTCTCAATTTGGTCATCAGCCATTAATTTTCAAGGAAAAATTTCCACCATTCAGTTGAAGAGTTTGTAGAGATATTTCTGCGAGTGCTTTATGATACATCATATGCATTTAGATGTCTGATAAAAATTAATCTGATTTAACAGGACTCTTGCCAACTATCTGGTGTGGAGGATGGTTTATTCAAGGTTATTTAACCTCAGTAGACGTTTTCAGTATCGGTGGCTGGAATTTTCTCGGGTAAGTTAGTGTTTTTGTAGCATTTACAATGGTAATTGTGTTGACACTACCGATTTCCCTTATAGTTGCTTATACCTTTGCAAACCATTAAATGTTTTCCATGCTGGATAAATTTCTTGAACAAACTTTTTTTTGCTAAAGGCTCCCTCTAAAACCATTAACACATACATATTCTTGTGTATGACACTAAGGAAAAATGTGTTTTAGATTGTGTTAAGGAGTTTTTGAGACCTCCCCTTTAAAAACCTTAGTCTTCTTATGCAGAAACTTGAAAGCTGGAAAGTTTTTGAGTTACGTGCCAGAGCTGTGACCTGTGCTATTCCTGCAGACCAAACATGTTTGGCCAAAATCTAAGCTTTTGAAAAAAAACCTGCTGTTTATATATGCGTGAGTATAGCTCTGGTAAAATGAAAGCCTAAGATTTCAGCTTTTCCAGATTTACATGAGCTCTAGCACATCCATACACCAGCCATTTCCTCAGAGAATCAGGTGCCTTCCACCTTGGGGTTGCAGAAGCCCCAAAGACATTAGTCACTGCCCCAAGCTATGAAAACAGAGTTAATGATCTATTAAGTAATATGGGCATCTGTGTAAAACACATCTATTTGATTAAGTGAACCCTGAATAGAAAGCCACTCTGATAACCCTGTGAGCAGTGTGAGGGCTCTTGAAGCAAACCAAGGATGAAACTGAAAGTGAAAGGTGCTTTGTCTTGTTTCCAAGCCACTTCAGTTTAGATGGTGAACTTTTTCTTTGTCATTATGAAAATTAGCTGCTTGGTGACAACACGACAACAGGAGGCTAGCATGATGCTGCCACTGATGTGGTATAGGAGGTGTGGGTTCTCTGTCCTCCCTAGTGAGGCATGCAGGTGGCTAACTGAAGCATCCATAATGTCTTTCTTTGAGTAGTACTGGAATAGTTCTGAGTTGATCACATGCCTAAAATGAAACTCCAAGAGCTTGATGGAAACTACACAGTCTCTTATCATTCCAAAATCATATTCAAATCAGTCTTGTTCAAGATGCAATTTTCTTCATGTAAAAATGTGAGAAACTGCCTGTCAGAACCACAGTGACAAGCTTGTAAGTCCCCTCCTGGGACATTCCTTGCCAGGCAGGTAAAGTAGATTGATGCTGGCCATCAGCCAGTCTGCAGCATACTACTGAGTTATGTTGAGTTATATTATGGCCAGAAAAATTCCTGGAAGGAAACTTTAAGCTTTGGATACTGTGCATTTTGATACGGTAACTAGCTGCTCTCACTTCTCTGGATACTTTCTCCTAAAGCTTACGGAGAAATCTAATTCAAGTTGATTCAATGCTTATTAACAATGTTATCAAGGGTTTAATGCAAGTGGTAGTGAAAACTTAAGAAAAGCACGGTAAGGGCAGTGAGTCAGCAGCTCATTCCCATAATCTGCCCCTGGGACCTGGAGATGGAGTGTTAGTTAAGTGCAATAAACAGCAATAGCTAATAGTTAATAGCTAAAGTTAAGCGCAGTAAACAGCTCAGGGTAACAGACTTCACAGGTCAGCAGAAAGGGCATGAGGAATGGATTCCAAGAAAAAGGATTTGTTGAACAGATTTGTCGTTTAGCTGGAGGACTAAAGGCACACAGGTCCTTTGGGATCATAAAAAGGACCCACCACCTCTTGACAGGTAAGTGAAGAAAACATTGAATGACTACTAGAAAGACGTGACCATGAGATGAACCAGTGACCCTTAAAGCAAAGGATACCTTTTATTCATTCATTCATTAATTCAGTTAGCCTTACCCATCATAGTATCATGGCATAGTATTTTTTTCAACAGCTTCTCATTTTCTATTGGTGACTTTTATGTCATACATGTAGAAATCTTGGCATCAAGACACTTAAACTATTTGCAAAGACAGGGAGAAAGACAGGATGAAACTTCAGAAGACTTCAGACTGAGAAATAGGATAAACCTGCTGACTCTAGAGAAAGTGCTTTGATTACTGCATTAGCAACTATCAGCAGCTCCTCTGCAGTGGAGCTTTAAGTCCTAGAATATGTGTAGTGGCACCTAGGGAAGAGATCAGTTAATTGTGTTGTGGAGCTCTGAATTGACTGGGAGGGCTCGAAACCTGCTATTTATAGTCACTGTTGCTACTTGGAGTACTGTGTTTTGGAGTGGTACATTAATATTAGGAGGACCATTTTGAGGGAGTTTTAGTTGGCTGTTGTAACATAAATATCAATAAACCAGCTGTGATATATAATCTGTTCCTCTCAGCTCTATTTTTATTGGTCACTCAGCCTGTGCTGCCTTTCTGTCCTCCTTACAGTCAAGCCTCCCTCAAAATAATAATAATAATTATGTTGTAATAATAATATGTCACAATCTAAAAGCCAGCTCTGTCTCCTGACTCTTTCTGTGGCTGATACGCAGTTAGAGCTTTTGGAAGGAATTTCAAGCTCTGATGACTAATGCCATGACTCCCCTTCTTCCCCTGCATCAGGAAAAAGCTTCGTTGTAGTTTTGGACCCTGGAGAGAAATTATCTTCTCTCATTTTCTCTGCTCTTCTTTCGTCTTTTTTTTTTTTTTTTTTTTTTTTTTTTTTTTTTTTTTAAGTGCTGTGTTATATAAGAGTGTTGAAGAATTTGGAAAAGGAGTTTATTTTCAGATTTGGCTCTGTTTAGGAAACGATCACCTTATTACATATTGGTTTTCTTACAGAAACAGTGTACTCTCTGTCATTGAAAATCTATTAGTGCATATACAGTACTAATAAAAAGTGTTTGAAAATGCAGTTCACTGGTGTATTTCAATCATTGATTAAGCTTAATTACAGATGATATGATGGAGAAAATCAATCTTTGAACTACCAAAATATCTGGCCTTCAATAACTGAGGGTTAATCTACTCTGGAATTTTCCAATGAAATATTTTCCAATTGGAAAACAACAAATTGCTTCTGTTTTGCTAGAAATTTAATCTTGGGCTCAAAGGAGGAGAAGACTGGGAAAAAAAAAAAAGAGGCTCAAAAACTGCTAGATCAGTGCTTAAGAGGCTTGTATAACCTGTGAGAAGCCAAAACGCCTATCCCACCTATCCTGATCTGGTGTTGACTGTACTCTGCTTTACCCAGCTGACAGACATTAAATACTGGACTGGGATTTTGCTTGTTTTCTGTGGAAAAGCTTAAGAAGTTCCTCAGGTGGAAAGGGAAAACAACAAGTTTCTTAAATCAGCACTGCTGTTGCTTACATGGACCCATCTCATATTTTGTTATGTGTACTTTTTTTAAAAATGAACTTCTACATTGATGAGAAAATGTAACGTTAGCTGGGTAAGCATCCGCAGTAACAACATCCTTCCCGTGAGAAACAGAAACCAAAGCAGCAATGTGCTTGAGCTCTATTTTGCCTCGTTCATTGGTGTGTTGACTATTCTTGACCATGTCTCTTTTGAAACTCAAGTATGGTGGTGCAGGGACATCATCAGAGCCTGGAATTGTGTATTTAACCACCGTTCCTTTAGTAAAATATGCAAGCTGTTCTATCAGCCTTTTTCCACCACAACGTGGAGTGAGATTTTTTGGGGGATGAACATGTATTCAGTGATCTTAGTGATTCAAACCTGTTTTCTCCTGAAAACACTCTGTTTGGGAAAGGGACTAAAAGCAACAGTTTATTTTACACAGACTGTGGTAACAGTAGCTAGACAGGTAAAAGGCAAAAATGTGTGGACATATACCTACCCATGATAGCCATCACTATTTAGCACAGATAAGTTCATGGCAGCAGAGGGCTCTGTAGGAGGTGTTTCATAAGAACTGACCTCATTTTCATGAGGATGATCTCCCTAGGCTTCTCACCTGGTCAGTGGAGAGACAGAAACTTTTTCAGGAGATATCTCAGAGCAGGGATTTTCTAGAGGAAAGTTTCTCTCCACCTAACACAGAAAGACTACCAAGATTAGCCTAAAGCTGGCACTTGGGAATGTCTTACCATAACTAACCCTCTAAGCCTATCTCTCTAAGTTGTTACCATTGTACTGTTTCTAAGTTTAAAATATTACAGCTATTTTGTGAAGTTCAAAAGATTTGTCATAGCACTAGATGAAAATAGAAATAACTGTAAAGTATTACTATTGTTTCCTTTTGGTAAGTATTTGACAAATATGCTTTATGCCATATTGTATGTGGATGCAGACTTTTCTTAAACAGTATGATCTTATGACCTACTATATGCACCTGCCTACAGGTGATCCACGGAACCACGACTTTGTTGCCTCAGTGGGATAAATGTGTGGACCTTGTTGAAAGCGCACTCCCTTACGTTGTGGGTAAGATGTTTGTGAATGCCCATTTTCAAGAAGACAAGAAAGAGATGGTGAGTCCTCTGAAATCTCTGTCTAGAACCTTTGAATTAGTGGCTTCCACCTCACAAATTGCCTCTGATGTTAGACCAAACCTTAAAAAGAGACAAGATTCTTAAAAATGTTTTAACTGATTTTTTTTAAAAAAAAAGACAAGGAGAAAATGGAACAAATTTGAAGAAATGTCACTTTCTGTTCACCTGAGCATTGCCCATTCTTTCCATCTGCAGCCCTTCAGACAGATATGTAACCAGATCAAAAACAGGCTGAAGACCATTAACTTGTGTAAATAATGACAACCAGGCTGTTCAGGAACAGAGTAAAGGTTATTGGTGAGAAATGGTTTAGTATAGCTGGCGTAACTCATTATAGTAAAGTTTTTACTGACTAGTTAAAAGACTGGTCAAGATTTCTCTGCTTCAGGGCAACTCTTTTAAAGCTGACTGCTACAGCTGTAGTCTAAGCAAGAAAAGTGTAACTAACTGGTGACTGATCCAAATTAAGTGAAGCTTAGAGCCACACAATGAGAGTTTCTATTTGTGATTCAAATCTTTTTTGCTCAACAATGAAGGACAGCATTCTTCCACTCTGCTGAGTCCAGAGAACAGCTTTTAGCTGGACATTCATTCTAAGACTTCAAACATAGCTACATTTTCACTTCTCTTAATAACTTATTCAAATGATTAATTACCCTTCAAAATAATTTCTGACTTATTTTCAGTTCATATTTTTCTCGTAAGGTGTTCCAATGTCTGCTTTTCCAGCCATTGATTTTCCAACAACAATCAGTTTTAAATTAACTAATTTATTCATTGAACTTAGCACTCAGAGCAGCAGAGACACAGCCATTTAGGAAACATTTGAAATAACACCCTGTGCTGGGAGTGACAGCTCTATGATAGTCCTACACTGCCCTGGCTCAGTAGCCTGAGTTTGTCTGTTTGACTTGATCTAGTTTGACTGTTTTGTCAGGGAACGACTCCATTTTAGACAGACCAACACTTGGATTTGGCTTGTCCAGATCTTTGTGGTGTGTGTTTCCCTCTCAGATTCTGCATTTCTTTTGCTACTGCCTTCAGCTGGAGTTTCCTCTCTGAGATTCATCTTTTTAGTCGCCTGCTCCTTGATTGAGTTTGTAATGTGCTATTTGGCTGTTTAGTGGCAAAAATATTTCAGGTATACACACTATTACCTCTGATAAGTGGGAAGAGAAGGACTATAAGAAATGTATGCTTTATGGAGGGGATGAACACTTTTTCATGCTTGTATATGTAAGGGAAAATGATGAGAAGCTGATAGGGAATGGTTTCCTGTTGAAACGTGACCTAATTAAAATATTTCTTAACATGTACATTCCTTTCGGAACAAATCTTTGAAAAATTGCCAAGTCTGAATTCACAGTAGCATCCATAGTAAGAAATGCATATAAAATTTATAGTGTAGATCACAAGATTCAGACTTACAGTGAACTGCATATGGAGGTAAAATTAGATATAGGTGAAATTTGTTGCAAGACATTTAGAAGTGTGCTTTTCAAGTTAATAATTCATGGTGTTATCATTTTCATTTCACTGGTTTTCAGTTCTATTTATCTTTCTTAGGCAGTAATAAAGCACTTTGAGAAAAGCAGTCATTTGTAAAGGTTTTTTTTTTTTTTTCCCTAGCTCATGGCATATATCTGTCTATGATAAACAAATCCTGAGTTATGGATAATATGGATTCTTTTCCCCCCATGTTTTGTCACTAGTGTGTCATACCTTAGATACTTCTCTCCTTTTATCAAGACAGGCATTAGTTGTGTCTAAATATAGAACTATTTCTAACCCAGGGTGCCTGCAGTGTTTCTTACAGCTATGCCTGAGCAGTTTCAGTAATAACTTTGATAGCAGGAATAGGTTTCTCCCCCTGCCCCCTGCAGCTACAGCTGGTGCATAAAGCTTAAGTATACACCAGGGCCCAGCTGCAGAGTTTGAGTTTGAACTTGCAACCTCCAAATACAGGAAGTTCACCTCATTAGTGCACGAAGTTAATGGAGTCAGTGCTCTGTCATCAATATCTTTAAGTTATCCTATTCCCTGGGAAGCAGTTTACTGTGAATGTTGACTGTTTAGTCATATTTAATGCTAGACCTGCTCCAGTTTTCCCCTATTGTCTCTAAAAATAAGAAAATGTTTTCTGAAATAGGTAGGAAAAAGTGAATAATCAAAGGAGCTTTGCTGTGTTTTGTCTGACTCCACCACAAATAATGAACAGTTCTATATTAAAATATGCATCTGATACATAAATGACAATTTAGCTAAAGGTAACGTTACTTTCCAAGGTTTAGTCACCACTTTTAATGGTATTTCAGAGCTACTAGATCTATAGAAGAAAATTATATAAATCTCTGCTACTTGACATTTTCATTTTTTTTAAATGTAACGTAACTGATAACACAAAGGTCCAATAAGTCTTCATGCAACGATTATCTGTCGTGTCTTGTGCCATCTCAATTCTGGTTTGGTCTGTGCTAAAGGACTCAAGCAACAACTGGATCCCCCAAATTGCCTCACTCTCACAGCATTCTCAGTGACTATTTGGCTGGAGGTTCATCTGTTTATATAAATAGCAGCAGCTGATTGTGTACACCTCTGGTCTGCGCTGCCAGGTGGATGCATAGGCACGAGGGCATTTCTGCACTTTAAACTGACATAATGCATCTCTTAGCCATTAGATTTCTTGTTTTCGGTCATTTCAGGGTTTTCTTAGTGGGCATAGTCACTAAATACTCCTTTTTTTTTTTTTTTTTTTTTTTTAACTTGCTTGATATAGTCTCGTGGCTTTGTATAGGTGTCTGAAGAAGCAGCCAAGCTAAAATGCTTGTGAGTTTTCCCAGCTTTGCACAGATGCAAGCTGTCACTGGTGGTTCATGACCACAGAAGCAGTTAAGGCTGCTAGGTGTTGTGAGCTGTGGCCTCTATCCTCGCAGTAAGTAACGGCGAGGAGTACTTCACAAACACAGCTAAATACAGGCTAAATATTTGGATACTGTTTTGTATTTGGATCATGATACTGTCAGCCCAAATTCAGTCCTTTGGCAGTATTAATAAGGCATGTCTCAGTCTGACATAAACCAAACAAGACTACAGATGCTTTCTCTGGAGAAAAGGCTTTATTTGTGCAAATGCCTTGCAGCTGGCTCTTTCTTCTGCATGGGCTAGTCATCTAGAACCAGTGTTCAGAAATCTCCCCAAATCACTGCAAATCTTCCAGTATTTTTGTGATTTCAAGACAGAAATTCTCACAATTGTGACATGAAAGGATCAACAGTGAGCAGGTGGTGTGTTACACCTGAAGGAAAAGAAAATGGAAAGAAATTTATTTTCAGAAGAAATGTCTAAGGGTTGGAGAAAGAAGAAATTAGCTTTCAAGAAAGATCAGCAGATACTGTCTGATTTGGAATCATTCATGGTCTAACCAAATCCATCACTCTTACATGCAACAAACCTTTTCTTACAATGATTCTGCCATGACATATTTTACTAGGGAATGGTTTGCTAAATGTTTTGCAGATGGAGGAGTTAACTGAAGGAATTCGCTGGGCTTTTATTGACATGTTGGAAAAGGAAAACGACTGGATGGACTCTGAAACAAAAAGAAAAGCTTATGAGAAGGTAACAAATATAAATCCTGTTACGTGAAGGTTTGACTTGCGTGAGAACACAATGTCATGGTCTCTGCTTGCATTTCCAGTTACGCATCACTTTGTTTGTGAAGGGACTTGTGCCACATTTGTTTTACTAGAAGCTGAGCCATTTGAGCTCCTGCTTCTCTGCTGAAGTGATTTTTGTTACCTTATTCTTCCTCCCTTGCCTCCATCTTTTCCTGTCTGGCTCTGGCTGAGGTAGACTATGATCTTAATTCAGATCTGGCTGTACAGTGCCAGAGAGGTCTTCCTCTTGACTGAGATGTCAGGGGCACACCAACCTACAAACAGAAAACAGTGTCCAAAACATCTGGGACATCCGAGGGTGTGAAGATGGAGGATCCAGCCTAGAAAGGGATATGAGAATGGTCCAGGTCTCATACCTTCTCCAGTGTCATGGTGGGAGGCCTACCTTGAAAGCCATCTTCTGGGAGTGCAATGACCATCCCAGCTGAACACCCATCTTCCAATAGAATAATGCCAGTTATGAAGTGCTATTGTCAAGGATGGCATTATTGGTCCTGATTGCTTTAGATAGAGTGACGATAAAATGCAGGGGTTAAAGGTAAAGGCAGAAGGAGGTACTCAAGGCTCCCTTTTCACTCTGTTCCCACGTTTATAGCATGTGATATATGGAAAGGGAGTTTGTCTAAATGCAGAACTCTGCCCCCAGAGCAGCAGTTGGTAGAAGCATAAACAAAGAATAGTGGAGAGCATTGTGTAGGACTGTCTCCTTATTTGTTGAGGCAACGGGATATCAGTGAATTAATAAATACCCTTTTTGAATAAACTGACATGCAAGTGCGGCTGAACTGTTCCTGCTTGCTGTGCTTGAATAAAAATAGCAGTGTTTTGATTTAAAAACAAACACAGACTTCAGAGTTTTTTGGTAATTCTGATGAAAAGGCTGTTGAGACATTTTATCATTGGAAAGTTTTAAATTTCATATACAGCCCATTTACATTTTATACAGGAGTGCTCTTCACAGATGTGCAAAAGAAACAGAGCTGCATAAATGCACCAATAAACTACGTAGCAGGAGAACAACAGTAAGATACCATTTATTTCCTGCTAACTTGATGGTAAATGGACTGCCGTCATTACTTCTTACTGGCTGTTATGATTGTTTTTTTACTAGAAATGCCATTATAAATATAATGATCTGTAATTTAGATATTTGACAAATTTGGTGCAAAATAAGAGCAGCAAGATTTTCTAATTATTTTGTTAATAGAGGTATTTCTATATACCTTTACAGATGTATGCAAGTCTGATGTTGATTTTTCTAGCAAACAATCTGCTTAACAATTTGTTCAAAATTTGCTACCTGCCTTTCAGTAGAGAAACAACACAAGCATTGCTGCAAACTAATAAACTCCCTAAAAAGCTCTCAGTTTTGCAATTTAGGGAGAGTTTTGTTCAGAAGGTAGGTCAGATCTTTTGTAGGTAGAGATGCCTGTTTCCCTCTGTTGACACATTTGGAAGCTTATGGCACTTTGCTCCCAATTTAGGCATCTCATTTAACTTTCTGAAGTTAATGGGGTAAGTCTGGACTGAGAAATGCATGACAAACTAAATTCAAGCAGTACAATAAAAATAATGCTACAAGCCATAGTACTACAAATAGGAAATGGTTTAAATCCATTCTCACTGACTTGAACAACAATTTTATAGTTTACTGACGTAGGAACGAAGTCAAGCTTGTAAGACACAAGTATTACGTAATAACTTGGAAATTGCGGCAACAATATTGCAATAGGACTTACGACTAAGTTTAAGTTCAGATTCACAGAAATGGCTACTTGGGTAGAAGGAAAGAGTCTAGAAAGACATTTTCATAGAATTCCAGACACGGAGTTTGTGTGTATTTATTAAATACTATTTATTGCTAATGATAGATGTTGGATTTGTTCTGGGACATTTGGATGGGCATGGTTTTAATTCAAGAAATAGATTCATTACATGTGGTCAGGTGGTTCACTGGGGAAATCTAAGATCTATAATACAACAGAACCTTCTAAATCCGTTTCTCTGTTCCAATTAAATCTCATGAGCACAGCACCTTATGTGGTTCCTTTTTTAATACTTAGACTTTGCTAAAGCAGCAAAAACAATAGGAATTTTGGAGTGGGGATTTTTTTTTGTTGATTACTTTAGTAGTTTATTATATAGATTACTTTATCATGTTATTATATAGATGTCTAAAAGTGACATTTCTTCATTAATAAGTATCATCCACATCTGTGAGGATAGTGCAAGTACTATGGACTTCACAATTTAGGAAAGAGCTTAATTTGTTCTTGAATTGAGGAGTAAGAGTAAGTTGTATTGTCCTGGGGGTTTTCTCAGGTTTACTCTTCATTTTGGACCACTACAAAAATAGCGACTAGTGTTATGATAGAGCATAGTGGGATGCTGAAGGTGCCTTCTTTCAGACAAAGGCCAGGAAGGACTCTCTTCTTTCATCTTCTGTATAGGCAAACTGCAGTATTTTAACCAATTATTGCTGGGCTGAGCCAAATAACACAAAACCCAATTGTTCTAGTTCTCTGTGGTTACTAATATCTTCATGGAATTTTTTTATTAAGATAGGATATTCTGCTTGGAAATAAATTTCAGTCCTGTGTGAGCATCTGCTTGTTTCTACATCCAGAACAAAAGATAGCACCTGCTTCATTACTAATCTGATAGCCTTCTATGATAAGGTCACCTGCCTAGTGGATAAAGGAAAGGTGGTGGATGTAGTTTTTCTGGATTTTAGTAAGGCTTTTGATTCTGTGCATCACAGCATTCTTTTGGACAAGTTGTCCAACTGTGAGATGAGCAGGTACACGGTGCACTGGATGAAGAACTGGCTGAGCAGCACGTCTCAAAGGGTTCTAGTGAACGGGACTATTTCTGACTGGTGACCGGTCACCAGCAGTGTTCCTCAGGGTTCAATTCTAGGGCCAGTTCTGTTCAGTATTTCTATCAATGATCTAGATGCTGGAGTTGAATGCACCATTAGCAAGTTTGATGATGATACCAAACTGGGAGGTGCTGTTGACTCTCTTGAGGGACAAGAGGTCTTGACCAAACTGGGAGGTGCTGTTGACTCTCTTGAGGGACAAGAGGTCTTGTAGAGGGATCTGGATAGATGGGAGCACTGGGCAGTGACTAATGCGATGAAATTTAACAAGTCCAAAGGCAGGATTCTGCACCTGGGATGGGGTAATGCTGGACACAAGCATAAATGGGGAGAGGAGCAGCTGGAGAGCAGCCCTGCAGAAGGGGCCCTGGGGTGCTGGCTGGCAGCAGGCTCAATGTGAGTCAGCAGGGTGTCCTGGCAGCCAGAGGGCAACCTGCATCCTGGGGTTACACACAGAGTAACCGGCAGGTCAAAATAGGTGATTATCCCGCTGTATTCAGCATTGGTGTGGCCTCACCTCCAGCACTGTGTGCAGTTCTGGGCCCCACCATTTAAGAAGGATGTGAAAGTCCTTGAATGCATCCAGAGGAGGGCAACAAAGGTGGTGAAAGGGCTGGAAGGAATGTCCTGTGAGGAGCAGCTAAGGACTTTGGGCTTGTCTAGCTTGGAGAAAATGAGGCTGAGGGGCGACCTCATTGCTCTCTGCAGCTTCCCGAGGAGGGGGTATGGAGAGAGAGGTGCTGATCTCTTCTCCCTGGGATCCAGTGACAGGATGCATGGGAATGCTTCAAAGCTGCATCAGAGGAGGTTTAGACTTGACATTAGGAAACATTTCTTTACTGAGCAGGTGGTCAAACAGTGGAACAGGTTTCCCAGAGAGGTGGTCGGTGCTCCATGATTGTCAGTGTTTACGAGGCGTTTGGACAAATTGGTCAGCTCTGAATTGTTCAGGCAGTTGGACTAGATGATTAGTGTAGGTCCCTTCCAGCTGAAATAATCTGTATTCTATTCTATTCTTATTATCAGTTAAGTAAAGAAAGGTAGTTATTAGTTGAGAAAAGCATGTCTTGGTCTTTTATGTTTTCATCAGTAGCTGTCACATTGTCCTTTATAGCACTGCAGAGTAGAGCCACTGCCTGAAATTCTATGGCAGAACTGTATGCTGCATGGAAATGACTGTGGTTCTTATATTTTGCTCTTCTCTATTTTTGATCTCATTGCATTCTTGAATTCTTTGAATGCTCTGGAAAGAAAGGTACTGTAGAAACCCGGTGGTTTTTTGTTTACTGGGCCTACTCCATGTGATCCATTTAGTTTGTCATTAGCCTTTTCTTTACATTCAGGCATATTCGGGTCATTAACAAAGCTTTTACTTGTTTCCTGAAGGAAGAATAAGGTATATGGATGTCTGGACTGTAAGCATGGAGAGCCTTCCTAGAAAAATGTCTCATCTTAGGCTACTGTTCTGTTCCTTATGGTAATTGTATCTTTAGATGACAACACTGTAATTCAAATGGCTTGGCAAGCTTTAAAGAGATTTAAGTGCAGATCCTCTCTGTGATTCAGAAACTCATTGTTTTGCATGTCTTCTGCTGCCTGTTTTCTGACTGTTGCCCACCTTTCTGGTGTACTTGGCTGAGGCCTAACTCGTATAACTTGCTGTCAGCCTGATGCTTTGCAATCAAAGGGATCATTGACCTCTGAAGGACTTACAAAAGGCCCTCTGGTAGAATCGATGTTTGAATTTTGCTTTAGGCAGCCTGTCAGCTCCATCTAATCACTGAAATGTTTCTCTGTCTGTGACTTTTTCTGTCTATTCTGTGGTTTTAAGTTGCTCAGAGAGGACACTACTAATTTGATAAGCTCAAACAATATTAAAAGGATCAAATCAGCTAGTGTATGTGACATAGGGAACAACTGTCTTGCAGCCTTGATTTCTGAAAAAATCACCCATTTAGCCTTTGTATACTTTGCAATTAAGGCTTGACTTTCCCTCTGTAACAAAACAATGTAATGAGATAACATCTAGTAATTTCCTTCTATCCTCTCCCCATTCCTCT